TCTTCCTCCTCCTCCTCCTCCTCCTCCTCCTCCTCCTCCCCCCCTCCTCCTCTGCTGTAGATGTTATCTAGGGTCTTGTACATTCCACACAAGTAGTCTGTCACTAAGTTATATCCACAATGGAGGTTTTAATAAGTTTTTTTTTTAAAGTGTATGTGTATGAGTGCCTGTATGTAAGTGTATCATGTGCATGCAATGTCTGTGGGGGCCAGAAGAGGGCTTTGGAGCCCCTGGAACTGGAGTTATGGACAGTTGTTAGCCACCATATGGATGCTGGGAACCAAACCTGGGTCTTCTGCAAGAGCATCAATGCTCTTAACTACTGAGCCATCTCTCCAGCCCCTTAATATAAACATTTTTACTAGCTCAAATTGACCAAACAGTAGGACTATCCAAATCTTGATCAACACAAGCAATCATGAATTGTTCAGTACAGACAGAACTCTGTATCCACCCTCAGAGAGGAGGGCCTTTCTGAGCAAATGTGGAGCATGAATGGAAATGGCCACTAGGAATTGTGAGGTGCTCTACCATGCAGGGCTCCTATTTTGTGTGCGCTTCAAAGTTACTTTACCCTGATCTTTCGATACAACCCTGAGTGCCCTGTTCATCTGTGCCCCTGCTCCAGCTCCCCACTGAGGTTCAGCCAAAGCATGGCTGGGTCAAGGGAGAAAGGAGAGGGAGGTCCTGGTCTTGTGGTTCTTCTCCCCTCCTGTGGGTTGCTCTAGTTGGCTGAGTTCCCTTCCCAAGGTCCAAGTTTTGTCCAGGGGCTGACCCTACACACACACACACATGCACGCACACACACACACACATGCACGCACACACACATGCACGCACACACACACACATGCACGCACACACACACACACATGCACGCACACACACACACATGCACGCACGCACACACACATGCACGCACACACACACATACACACACACTCAGAAACACACAGACACAGATATAGATAGAAAGGCCCCAAAGCTGCTTAACCCTTGGGATTTTCTGACCTCCTACCCACACCTCTCCCAATAATCTTTTTATTAAACTCTTCTCAGATTACCCAGTTTGAGGGTGTCATCCACTTCCTACCAGGACTTTGATTGAACATACCTTGTTGTCTGACTAGAATGAGGTTCAGTTGGAAAGTGGTAACAAAAGATTACAATAAAACAAACACTTCTGGAAATAAGTAACATTCTTAAAGGGAAATCACCAGGGATACTAAGAAATGTTGAAATCAAAATGATAATGAAAACATTATAGGATCAAATTTGTCAGATCTGTCCAAGACAGTGCTGTAGAAGGAATTCTGTAACTTTAAATAGGCCTATCACACTACTGAAAGGTTTAAAAAGACGGAGCCACAACCAGAATCCAAAGACTCGTGCAGGGACTAGGATGAGGACAAAAATGAAGGAAAAGATTCACAAAACCAAAGTTGGGCTTCTGACACTATTTAAAAATATATTAAAAAGAAAAATTGAGGACTGGGGAGATGGCTTGGTGGATAAAGTGCTTGCCTCACAACTCCGAGGGACTGGCGTTCAAATCCCCGGCATCCTTGTAAATGCTGGGTGAGTATGGAGGGCCCATCGGTAATCTAGGTTCTTGGCAGAGACAAGGGGTCCCTGGAGCAAGCTGGGAAGCTAGACTAGCCAAATCAGTAAGCTGTGGTTCATGTGAGGGACCCTGATTCAATATATGAGGTAGAGAGAGACTGAGGAACACCCTCAATGTTAACCTCTGGCTGCCACATGTATGTGCACATGCATGTACCCATGCATGACTGCACACCCCAAACACAAAATAAAGAAATGCAAATAACACAATAAAAACATGCCCAGAGACAATAGAAGGGTTCTGTGGTGGTCAATCTTTATTGTTAACCTAACTGGATTTAGAATTGCCTAGGAGACACACCTTTGGGTGTGTCTATGAGGTATTTTCAGAAAGGTTTAACTGAGAGAAAACCCACCCTCACTATGAGTGGCACCCTTCCTTGGGCTGGGGTCCTGAACTGACTGAAAAGGAGAACGAGCTGAGCACCAGCACTCACCTCTCTCTGCTTCCTGACTAGGGACACAATGCGACAGCTGCCTTACACCCCCACCATGATAGGCTGTATCCTTTCTTAAACCATGAGCCAAAATTAACCCTTTAGCTGCTTTTGCCACAGTTCTGTTACAGCAACCACAGAAGAAATGCACGCACATAAGCTAGCAATTAAAAATCTTCAAGTTAAATGAACATCTAGAAAAATCTCATTTGATTAAGGAAGCAGAGGTGTGTCCAGACTAACAGCATATGGAAATGGAGTCCTAAAGACACCCCCAACCATGACGTTATTGTTCTTGCCATCCTGGGAAGATCAGCTAATGTCTTCTTTCTGCAGGTGGTTCTGGGAAACCGAGAGGAGGGACACTTTCAGCGGGCTTTGGAGGAGCAAGACAGGTGGGCTCTGACAAGCCGAGGGGCCTGGCCGGTGCTTCTTACGAGGTTCTTGCCACATAGTTGCTGAGGTAGAGCACCACCTTCCTCAGGCTTCCGTGGACTAAGTGGTTAACAATGGACAGCCCCAGGGGCAGCGCCCAACATCAGTCAGAAGTAAGGGACGCTGCTGGCAGCGTCTCCTTGGAGAGGCAGCTTGGAGCTCCGGCTTTCAGGTGGCATGACGTCACCACACCCACCGCAATGCAGGGAAGTCCTGGTGGGTGAGCTGACCAAAAGGCCTTGTCCAGGTAGCTCAGTCCTGGGCAGTGGGAGAGGTTGGCCCCACGCGTGGAACTGCCAGTTAGCCCCTATTGAACAGGAAAGCGGCGGGGGTTGGGAGGATGCGGCGTGGGGGAAGGCTGGGGCGTGCCAGTATAGACCTAGGGTAGGCTTGCAGGTCCACGGAATTTAAGCTGCAGCGACAGGATGTGAGAACTGTCTGAACCGAGAATGGGGCGGAATCGCACCCGAGCTGTGAGGGAAGGAGGGGCGGGCTGTCGCGTTGTCTTCCAGCAACCAGCCCTGCCATGCTCTGCCTTTCATCTGGTGCTCTGGCCCAGATGCCAGATGCGATTTTAAGACCCACCTGTTAACATCCTGGAGTCCATGCCCCCAATCCGCCCCACAGCCCCTCCTCGGTGAACGAAGTGCCCCGCCCCCACCCCCAGCTTTGTCTGTCCCCCACAATGCGCCCCTGATGATGGCCCCCAGTCCTTGCAGGTGGATGTTCTGTGGTTATTAAGAATTCGGTTGAAAGGGGTCAGGATGAGGGAGGGCTCTGGGTCTATGGGCAAGTTCGTCGGGGGCCACCAGGTCGTCCTCCTCTGGGCCGTGGAAGGCTGAGCTGAACTAGGGACGCGGCATCCGATCCGTGCGTCTGGCCCCCAGCCTCGCACGGTGGATGATGTCACAGCCCAGCCCCGGCCCCCTCCCGCTCCCACCCCATCTCCGCAGCCACGATGCCCGTCCCTCTCCCCGCACGTCAAACCAGCTGGCGGCTGCGGCTCGGACGCAGGGCGCAGCCAACCAGCGCTTCGGGAGGGGCGCGGGGCGGGCCGGGCCGGGGGCGCGCAGACCGTCACGCGGCGCCGCCGTCACAGCGCCAGGCTCAGCCTGCGAGCGGCACCGGCTCCGGCTCCGGGACCCGCAGCGGGTGCCCATGCAGGGCCGCCGCGAGTGACGCCGGAGAGGTAAGGCCACGGTCCTCCGGGCCTGTAGCCACCCACATCCACCACCCGCACCTGTCCCTGGTATCGGACGTCCCGCCGAGCGCGCCGCGGCTGGGAAGGTCCGGGCGAGCGCCAGTGTCCTTGTCGCAGCCTGAAGAGCCGACATCCAGGGGCCGTTTCCCTTCCCCCGATCCTCCTCCGCCTCTTGGAAGAACAATGGGGCGAATTCAGAGGTGTCGGCTCTCAGTGCGCAGCCTGGCAGCCCCAGAAAAGGCCTCCTTCGCGCGGCCGACCCTGGGCTAGGGTGGGCGGAGGTCGCCGGGGGAGGGCGCACTGCGGGCGGATCTGGAGACCTGCATCCCTTCCCTGCGCGCCTTCCCTATAGAGGAGCCGCCCAGAGGGATGCTCCGGTCCCTGGGGGAGGGGGTCGTTAATGCCAGGTTAGGAACCTGGAGACGGATGCAGGCATCCGGACAGGGCGCGGCTGAGGAGCTAGGCCCGAGGGGAGGCTGATTTGGTCCCCGGTGGGGGAGGGCAGATGATGGAGCCGAAAGCAAAACAGGCGGGCTGGGCGGGGGCTGCGGCGCCAGGGCCAGGCCACCAGCTTGCTTGGTGCGCACGCGGATGCTGCCCATCACTCCCCGTGCGGTGTCCCCTCCCCGGGAGACACCACCTCCCTTCCAGAAAGACCTAACACCAGGAAGGGCCACCCGCAGATGCGATTGACGACTACTAAGCCAGCGCCCCAGTAACAGGTGTGGTCGGGGCTGGCGGGAGGGGCAGAGGGATGCGTGGTCCGGCTGACCCTGGTCCCCAGGCGCCTGGCGTCGGTTGACAGGAGGACACTGACAGTGAAGACCCTTACACTCCCTCCTTCAATTGCCCCTCTCAGCCCAACTGCCCCCCCCCCGGGAAGGCCACCCCCCCCCGGGCTGGGGAGGCGTCGGGGCTAGGAGGGAGGGTCTGCGAACGGGCCTGGTGCCAGCTGGTGGGGGCTGCAGGCGCGGAAGGGGGAGGGGAAGGAGGGATTGCCAAGTCATGGGGCCTGTTGGGCGCGAGCGCGACATCGCCAGGGCGCGGACCCGATGCGCGCCCACGTCCCCAGGAATGGGACTTTACCCCAATGGCCAGGGGACCCGTCCTCCAGCAGCCAGCTGTCCTAAGAGGCGTCCGCACTGCTGGGATTAAAGGCCAGCTAGGGCAAGAGGATTGAATCACAGGGCTGCGGGAAGAGGAGGTGCGGAGAGCTGCTGCCGCGCAGGGCTGGTCCAGGCCCAATCCCAGGGACCCACAGACTGAGCACAGGCTCCTGTCGGAGACGCGGTCACCGCGATCTGGCTGAAGGTGACTGCCAGGTCAGCATGCCCAGCTCCTCGGTCTGAGAAGGCAGCGCGGACTGCAGAAAGCTGTGGGGTCCCGGGGGCAGGGGGCCCCAAGTGCGGCGGCCATTTTGCAGGTGTGGCTGGTCATCTGCCTCAGACAGGCTGGGGGTGCGGGGTGGGCAGATGTGGGGCTGGCAGCGGGGTGCAGTGCGGCAGGGTGAGGGGTGCAGCAGAGTCCAAGGCAGGCCTCAGGTCTGCTCTTGCTCTGCACAAGCGGGATCCTAGGGGTTCCATGCTTTTGGTGGGTGGGGTCAACACCCAGGGCTTCTCTGATGGAGGGATGCAGGCGGTTCAGCCTCCTCTAGATATGAAATCTGAGGAGGGTCCTGGTGCCCAATGCAGGGACCTCACGCTAGCAGCTCTCTCCTGTAATGAGGGTGGACCTGAAGGGCAGGCTGTCCTTTTTGGCTTGTGGGACACTGGTCAGAGGGCCTGGGTTCAGGGGTCCCTGTGTAAGAGTTTGCATGCCCCCCCCCCACTGGGTACTCCCTCAGCTAGATGCCTCCTGTCTCACTGGCCCTGTCCAAATACCTGGCTCAGATGGAACTCCTGAGCCTCCAGACTGCACCTGCCCCCCGCAGGTGGACAAAGCCAGAGCTGATAAGTGGCAGGGTTGGCTTCAGGCCCTGGCCAGTAGGTAGAGGTAGCCTCGTGGCCCAGGCTGCTCAGGGCCATCCTTCACAGTCCCCTGCTGATCATGTCCTCTGCTAGTCCTCCTGTGGTCTCTGTGCAGGGCAGGGGGAGCAATGGCAGGAGCCATGAGAGATGGAGCTGCCTAGCCTCAGGATGAGCCAAGGAAGGCCACCAGATTGGGGTCAGAGGAGGCCAGCCAGGATAAAAACTATACCCTGGCCAAACCTGTAGGCAGAGTCCATCCATCCAAGAACTTGGAAGGACTCAGCGGTAACCTATGGCAGACAGTGGTGGATCTGGGCCACTTAATCTATAGTGCTGGCAGATGCATATGTGGTTGCTTTGTACAGTGGCAGATAATCCCTAGAGAGTGTGCAAAACCAGGGCTATTAGGCCCAAAGGATAGTGCTCACCAGTGCCCACACTGGTGGTCAGAGGCAGAGGGCTCCCCAGCGCTACATGATGTAGCTGGCCTGCTGTTTATTTCTGAGTCCAGAGTCCTGGCCCCTGCATGACATGACTATTCTTTCCCCAGAGTGTTGGTGACCAAGGAAAGGTCTGGCTGGCTAAGCCAGACCTAGCATGATGCAGATGGGGACACTGGAGGGATGGTGGGCTCAGTCAAGGTCAGCAGGGGAGGCCTTCCTGACTCCCTTGCCTCCTGAGTCCTCAGAGTACCTGCCCAGCCCCTCCTGGTGGCACTTAGTTCTTAAGTTGCCTCTGTGGAAGCCTCTACACCCTGCCTTTAATCTAATCCCAAGTCTTGTGGTGTAGAGAGGCCCAGTCATTCAGATGGTCTGTGTGTTGCCCCTGTTCAGATTTCAGGACTCAGGTCAAGCTAGAATCCAGCTACCCAGACTGCCTTCTTACCCATGCCCAGTGCCAGGGTCCGACAGCCATGCCTGGGCCTAGAAGTAGGTGGAGGGCAAAGACCAGAGACATCAAGTGACTGAATGTCCCCCTGCCAAGGGTGACAGTGCCTCAGAAGTTGGGTCCCACTGGTCTTGTCCCACCTCTCACCATCCTGACGAGCTGCTGACAGGTGGGGAAAGTAACTGTAGCCTACCTAGGATAGCTAGCAGGCAGAGATGAGGCAGGAGTCCTGGCATCCCCCTAAAATTTCCTGAGTACCACTGGCCTTGTGCTGGGGGTCCGGGGGCAGGCCAGAGGCCAACTCAAGGGAGGGGACCAGAGGGGCAGTCAGGGCCATTTCGACCCCTAGAACAACTTCTCCACATAGCACTGTGTGCTATACAGGCCCTTGTGGGACTGAAGCCACACACACACCAAACATACTAGCACATTTACACCTGAGTACTTTTGCACAGGTCACACTCATGCACACAGTCACATGTACACACACACACACACACACACACACACACACACACACGTGTGCATACACTGACTTCTGGCTCCTTGACTCCTGCCTCTTTTCCTGCTTGACTCTCTTCCCTGGACAGCACTCTGCCCAGACCTGGATCTGCCTGCAGGGCTCTTTGGATGCTGCCTCATCTAGAAAGCTTGCTGTAAGCTCCCAACACACAGAGTGCCTCCTCCCAACCCTGACTTAGTTCTAGGAGGAAAGCAGGGAGCATTCATGTGGCGTAAACTGTGCTATGCCCTTGTGTGAATTCGCTTAGCTGATGTTCCCAGATGCCAGTGAGTAAGTTGTGGCATCCGCAATTCTCAGATGCAGACTGAGGCTCCTGAGAAGTCATGTGGCTTATAAGAGAGGACCCCAGTTCTGGTCTCCCTTCCAGAGATTGCTGCTTTTATAGTGCCTTCTGTTTACTTTCCACCCCTCCCATCTGTCCTACCTCCCCTTCCAGGGGACAGCATGGTGTCACCCCTTACCCTCCAGTAAGACTTAGTGAGCAAGCCCAGGGCAAGCAACTGCCCCCTGTCCACTGGGATTGCCTTGGGTTTTGAGTTTCTGAGGCTGGCTGGGTAGAACTCTGGGAGTCACAATGGCCCCTGACTGCTCCTGACAGCCCTTGAGCTGGCCTCTGACCTGCACCCAGTGAGAAGCTGGTGATGCTTGGGGGTGTCCTAGAGAGGGGCTAGGCCTCTTCCCCATCTCCACCTGCCAGCGACCTTTGGGTGGCCCTTAGCTGCCTTCCCCACCTGTCACCAGCTCAAGACAGACCAGTGGGGACCAGCTTCTAAGGCTGCTGCCCTGGGCATGGGGACACTGAGTTGCTCCATGTCACTGGTTCTGTCTGCCTGTTTCTCGGTCCAGGCCCACTGGATGTAGCTTCCCAGCACTGGGCAGAGCTGCAGTGCCTCAGGCTGTGTACTGCCTCAGAGCCTGGGTAGGACTATCTTGGTCAGGGTTTTCTTTTCTCTAGATCTTGGCTATCCTTTTCTAGTACTGAATGGGTTTCTTATGTCTTCAGGTTTCCCTAGCTCTGGTGAGTCCCCTCTTTTGTGGCACCCGGTCCTGGGGGCTGTCTCCCTCTGTCCAGCCTGGGTGCTGTTGGCCTGCTGCTACTCAGTGCCTCCCCAGAAGCTGGTTACTACGTTTCCTTGATTGGAGTCTCTGATTCTTGGCCCCTTTGGCTGCTTGTTCCTGGTTTTTGGTCTTGCTCTCCTGAAGAACATCCTTGTATGACTTACTGAAAATGACATGAATCTGTGAGTGTGTGAGGGGTCCTGCTCCATCCTCATCCCTTGCTAGAGGGTGAGCCATGCAGTCGTCTAAGTGGTGAGTCATTTCCTGAGGAGGCTGTGGCTTCATGGGTCTGGGCATCCAGGTGCTTACAGGAGCCTTTGACAACAGCCAGTGTCTTTGGATTCCCCACTTCGCACAGAGTTCTGCCCGTGCATGCTGGCAAGTCTATGTGAGTTTTTGTTTTTGATGATGGTCATGGATGGGCCTTTTAAATGGAAGACAGGATTTCTTCTTCACAGGTTTGTAACTCCTCCCTTTCTTTTTTTCTGTTTTCTTCCTCAGAATCGCATGTGGCCGTTTCTCTCCATTCTCCCTTCCCTTGTCTCCGTTCTGTTTTCTGGACAATGTTGGACTTCATTTTCCAGTTCTTTGCCTGGAATTTCAGCTTTTCCGTGTTTTGTCCTTGACGCTTCACCCTCCCTGACTCTAACTGCTCCCATTTCACAGCATCCTGCTTCTACTTCAGAACACTGTCTTTCTAAGGTACTGGAGGAGTAAGCAGAAGTTTTGTTCATTTTGTTCCTGTCTGTGGCTTCTCTTTCCCAGGAAGCTTGTTTTCAGGTGTTTTATTCTGTCCCTTCACTTCACGCTTCTGCTCTGTGCACAGATGCTGGAGCCTTCGTTGGCTCGCACATGTGCTTGGGAGGCCCAGCAGTAGAGTTTGTGATGTGCTTCCTTCCTTTGAGTGGGGGCTCTGACTGGAGTGAGGGTCCTCAGCAGGCTTGGGCCCAGGTAATGGAGTGTCTGCAGCCAAGCTGCCCGTCCAGTATCAGAGTTTTGGTTGTGGCCTCAAGCCTGAAAGCCTTGCTGTTTCATACTTGTGATAAGCATTCAGCTGCCTGCTTGGGGGTCCTAGTGATGCTACCTGCCATGGGGGTAGGTGGGAACGGGTAAGGTTTCTGTTTTAGCCCTGTGACTCACTCTGCCTTCCTCTGGATCCCTTGGGTATCCAACCTTGATCCTTGGGGAGGTCCTACACTGAGCTCTCTCCTCGCTCCTCTTGCATCGTTGGAGGCTGAGGTTCTGGGGGATGACCACTCTCACCCTTCGCCCTTGCTGTGGGGGACACTATTGTGCCCTCTTTCATTTCATGAGGTCTCAGTGACCAGCAGCCCTGGATGTCAGTTCACCAAAGTCCCCCTTCTCGGTCTTTGGGAGTCTTGGGTGTCAACTGGCTTCTGCATTCATTGTGATGAATGGTGACGAACCCCACCCCCACTTTTTTTTCACATAGTCTCAGAGATGAATCAGTTCAGGAGGAGGACCATGCTGATGGAGGGTATGTTCTGCAGTGTTCCTGGCACATGTCAGGCCACTGGTTGTCTTGGAGGTAGGCAGGTCCTTAGATAAAGGCTGCCGGGGATACCCTTGTGCATTCTCCATAGAGTCCTAACCTTCTCTGGTGGTCAGGAACATCTGTTCCTCACCTTCCCTGGCCCCATGCTTCCCTGGCCTTCTGCATGTGTCTTAGTCCATTCTGTTGCTATAATGAAATACCCAAGACCAGATAACTCACACAACATAGAGGCTCACCTAGCCCATAGTTCAAGAACATGGCTCCTGCATTTGCTCAGCTCTAGTAAAGGACCCATTTGAGAAAGAGCAAGTGTGCCAGAGAACTTGCTTTTATATTAAAGCTGCTCCTGTAGTGAGTCATTAAGCCATG